AAGTGTAAAGCTTCAAATTTGTGTAATTATTTGCACATGATTTATTGTAAGAATGGGCTACGTAATACCCTTGTAAATGTATTTTAAACTGTATAAAAAAAATTGAAATCAATTGTGAAAATCCATTCCTTATATAGGACGGTCTCTCCTGTTATAGGTTATCCCAAAATTTATCCAAAATCTAATTGGCTAATAGAGAAAATCTGCACTAATATGGTCAAATTACGTCCATTTTTGGTAATGATATTCGCGCGCTCAATATTAAGTTTACCCAAATTTAGGGTAACCTATCTATGTAGTTTCCTAGTATGCCCCATATATTTTATTTTGTTTGGAAAACAGCCCCTATTTTTCTTATAAATATGGAAACGATATACAAATACCGAATTTTTGGGTCAAAATCTCTTTTTGATTATCTATTTTCCGCGCCCCATATATATATATATATGATCTACAGCGCCCAGCTCATTTATAGCCTAGTATTTTAAAACTTGTTATATATATATACACAAATCACAATCATCTTCGTAATACTTAAAAATTTCCTTTTTTAAAGAAAAAAAAGATGACTTACATGATTAGTAAAATACACCAAGTTCCTTTATTAGTACAACCCGCTTTAACTTGTCAAAATAATATTGTAAAATATATTGTAACAATTCTTTTGATTTTGGTGATATGGCTTGTCATGAAATACGTACTTTTGATTATGACAACATTTCAAGAATCTGAATCGGAAGAATTATTAGATGACAGGTAATCAAGTTTCTAAAAATGTTGATCGATACATGCATTCATATATATGATATATTTCCATTCATTAATATTCGATATTTTTTGTTTCAGCAATGGTCCTGATGGTATAGAAAACTTTAATCAATTTGATCAAATGGAAGAAATTACTTCTAGCCTCTCCACTGATTACGCTTATAATCACCAATACATTAATCGTGCCAATCATTTTAATTATGTCGATAATAATGAAATTGTGGAATTATTTGGTGCAGAATCTGATGTGAATACAATTGTATCTGATACTGAAAATTTTTATGATACGGGTATGGAATCTGATAATGACACAATAATGTCTGATACTGAATATGAAGATTTTTATAACACGGACATGGAATCTGATAACGATACAGTAATGTCCGATATTGAGGATTTTGATGATTTAAATTATGGCGCAGAAGCATCTGACCATACGATAATAACTGATTGTGATGATGTCAATGATTCAAAATCATATAATTATTCATATTCTTCCTCCTCCTCCTCATCCTCATCATCCTCATCATCATCACCCTCATCGTCAGGAAACAATAAAACAAGAGTGACATATTTGCATGCACTATATAACGGTTATAAGGTAAAACCTGATAGACCATTTAGAAGACGACGACATTGTTCAAGAAATAACAAACAAGCATCATCACTTGATCAACAACAGCCTGTATTTTTACCGATTTCTCGTATTTTTGACATTTTCCAAAGGAACAGAGTAAAGTCACCGGATGATGGTGTTCCTTGTAGATACATAATAAATCAAAACGGAGTGCCGTTTAAATTGAAATTAACAGACAAAGATGCAGAAATGGCTAGATGTGCAGGTATTTATTTTCATACATACACGCACGCACACACGCGTGTAATATCAAAGATAAAATAAATTTTCATATATTCATGCATGCATGTATACGTTTTTTTTTTAAAAAAAACATAGCATTGGAAAATTATGAACGGTATCGTCCAAGAATCGGATCGCCGTTGTCAACAGAGAGAACTATCGAATTTAATGCTGGTAATGAAGTAAATGTTACTTCTTTGAGGTTCCTACAGTCACCTGGTCTAAATACCAACAAAAAAGGCGCAGAGGTTGGTTGATTATTATTATTATTATAATGTTATTTATTATTTATTATTTATTATTTATTAATATTTGAAAATCTTTATATCCCTAATACAAAATTTAAAAAATTAGCCTCAAACTAGCATAATCAAGGCTGTTAATAATCGTAATAATCGATGTAAAAATAAACAAAAATATAAAATGGTTTCCTAAATTATTAATACAACGATTCATGGTTATTATATAAATAACTCACAAAACTAAATGGAGATATTAGTGGCAGTTGTGAAAATAATAAATGGAAAATAAGTCAATTTGGTGGTAAGTATACTTTGTAAGAATTCTGCTCTCTTACATTTCTTATTTATTATTTAAAACTAATACTGAATTTTTATGAAATAGGGTGTTATTCGTTGAAAAGAACCAACATCATTAGTTGGTTCTTTTCAAAAATTAAAAATAATGTAATTAAATTTTTTTTCTACTAGCTGAAAAGATTTATTTTTAATATAATATTATAAAAAAGATAACAAAATAAAATTTATTTGCAAAGTTTCTACATCAATCAGCCCAACATTTCTCACGTACATAAAAGTGTGGCCTAATTAATTTTATCAAGACATTAAGATTTTTCAACTATAAAAATTGTCCCAACTAAAAAATTAAATCAATCTAAATATATCCAAACTAAAATTACCTCCATTCTCGTCTCTCCCAATTAATCTGAAGTTAACAATCAAAGTGGAATAATTAGCTTCTTATTTTTAAAATCAAAGCGCAGTTATTGGATTGAAAGCCTTTATTCTACAGGTCATGTGTTTAATCAACGCGAAATAAATGCTAGGTGTACAGAGATATCACATTGCGAAAGAAATAAGTCATGCAATTAAATTAATGATTTAATTTTACACGGGCTTTTCTTTGATCAAAAAAATACAATGAAGATTCTCTATAAAAACTTTCTCAATCCAACCCTTTTTGATATTTTTGATGTGAGCAACGTTCCCTTGATGAAAACGAACGTAATAATGATGAACTACAGAAGAATTTGAATGTAAGTTTTAGCAAATCGAAAGCGAAGATTTCCAATAGATAAATATATTTGTCAGTATCATCATTTCTCTATCTTGCTGTATTTCAAATATTATAAAACTAGAATATATACTTCTAATTGGGTGAATGCTTCAAACTAACTTGTTGAGAATGTATAATATGTCACTAAAAGTGATAACGTACGTCATAAGGGACTTTCAACTAGCAATCCTTTTTTCCTAAATTTTGCAAAATATCACGTTTCTAGTATACCACCACATGTGGACATGTGAGTCGCGTGAAAACTTATCTGATATATTATTTATTTTATTCAGGTAGTAAACATCATCAATCTTTATATTTTAATAATATTAAAGATAGACCTTAATCTAAACCCCTCACTTATCATTACATGGTCGTTTTCAAACTATCACTATTTATTGAGCTGTTAAATTCACGTTTAATAATAGTAGTATTCGATTTCAAGGTAAAAGATACAGTATTATCACTATTACTAATAATAGGACTGGTTTAATCAAATTTTTATGCTGTGAATACTGCGAGATAGTAACGGGCGGAAGCTATGTCCCCTTTCTCTTCAAGTTCTAAAGGTTGTTCTTCCGGTCCTACAAAGCAACTAAGGTAAGAGTTGAGAAAAAGATGTAGAGTAAAATTGTAAATGAATTTAGAACTATTAAATGCGAAATGTGATGGTTTTGTAATCCTCAATGGTTTTAGACGCTCCGGATATGTAAAAACTCAATTGTGCAAAATTCTTTTTGTCATACAACGTAAATACATATATGCCAAACCCTCTGGAACCGTGATGTCAATCAGGAACATTTTTTTGTATATAAATGAGAACGAGGGAGAAAGTCCTGAGGGACTTCAATTGACTCAATGCAGAAGCGACAACGAGATTTTCTTTTCGTCGCAGTCAGCTATACGATTAGACCTTCAACATAGTGTGTTACAGTTTAATTGTCCTCTCCGATTTAGCATAACTGGTTTACTATGATATGGTTCAGGTTCAAGTATTTTATGATAAACTAAAGCATCTTCTGTTGTATTTGTCACCACAAATCATTTAGAACTATTGTTAACTTTCTATTGATATTTTTAATTATTGACATATCTATGCTGATAATGATATAATCTTTGTTAGTATTTTTTTCCGGATAAAATTAACTTTTAGTTTCTAATTCTTTTTACTATTAGGGGTTTACTATGACCATGTCAAGCAGTAACATCAATTATAAATGTAATAAATAACTTCCATAACCCAACAAAATACAACATATTGTATAATTATTGTTGTCCTTCACTTGATCCATTTTCTTGAAAATCAAATCAAATACGATTGGATGGCACAAAAATATTGCTTCCATTGTCATTTTATTTGATTTTATATAAAGTGGTACCAAGTTAATTCCACGCTATTAGTTTTTATTTAATTTTCTCATTAGAAAAAAAAGATATTATAATAAAGGATGATGTATAATATTAAGCAAAATATCAAATTCTATTGTTTTACATGCATTAAAAAAAATAAATAAAAGTTGAAAATTTTTAAATTTTCAATTAAGTATGTACAATCATATATATGCTATTACTACACCTATAATACTATTGATTTTTTGAATCATCCTCTTTCTGTAACAACTCTTACAAATTCAACATTTTTGGTTGCTTTTTTTATGCCTTCTCTAGTTATTTGATTACGTCTTAAAAATATTGTTTTAGTGAAAATTGTAGTTCCAACTTTATTTTCAGTAAAAGCAATAAGAGCAGCTCTATTCATTGCTTTAATCAAAATTTCAGCTCCAGAATCTCCAATAATATTACCCTCCAAATCCAATGTATGCAAGCTAGAATTAATTTTCAATGCATCTGATAAAACCTCTACTCCTTTATTATCAATATTATTCTCTGCAAGAATTAATTTTTCCAAGTATTTATTTTTCGTCAAAGATACTGAAAGAATTTCTATACCTTTGTTTCCGATTCTAATATGCTCAAGATTAAGTGTAATTATAGATTTGTTTAGTTCAAGAGCTTTTCCTAAAATTTCAACACCTTTGTGGCCAATCTCATTATTACTAATATCAAGTGTATGTATACTACATGAAGGCCGTTCAATCAATTTGCTTAAAAATTCAAGGCCTCTGGAATGAATATTATTCCACGATAAGTCAAGGCTTTCCAAAGTCATATTAATTTCTAAAGCACGACAAAATGATTCCATACCCTTATCACCAAAATTATTTCCGGCTAACTCAATACATCGTATAGTTTTATTTGTTTCTAAAGATTTGGATAAATAGCTGACTCCTTGATCACAAAGGTTATTATCAGGAATTATTAATGTATGAATAGTGGTATTATTTTTTAAAGCTTTTGTAAGTAAAACTGAACCAACTTTTTCAATTTCACTTCCTTTTAAATTAACGGTTTCAATGGTTTCATTTGATTGTAATACCTCGGTCAAGTATTGCCACTGTGATCCTGGTTGAAATTCTAGCAAATGTAGGGACCTAATTGCTGGATTAAATTTTAGTATGCTTCTTAATTGTTCTGGTGTTTTTATATCTTCAGAACGAAGCTTTAGTGTGGAAAGTCTATCAAGTTCTTCTTTATGGGCTCTTTGAATAATTTCCATTTTCCTTTCCAATGCCGTCATATGATTATTAATTCCATGAAATGCATCTTTCAATGGTTCATAAACACAATTACTAAGATGATCCTCAAGTTGACATCTTTCAAACTCTGCATTACATCCACCATAACTTCCAAGAATATTTTTATGTATACATGGTATACGTTTCTTTAGACAATTAAAATCATGTTCTTTTAATCCATGGAATAACATTATTTCATTACATTGAGGACAAGTAATTTGGCGGTTAACACATTCTTTTTCACGATGTTGCTAATTAAAAAGGAAAAAATAGTATTATTTTTAATTAATTATAATTAATCTGAATTGTATTTGGTATTTAAGTTTAGAATAAATTTCATTACAAAGTACATTATTAAATTTACTTTTTTAACCTAAAAATGAATTTAAAACCTAATGATTTGAACTTGTAAAGACAACAACAATAATTGTTATAAACTTACCTCCAAAGTTTCCATGTCATAAAATTTTTTATTACACCACAAAGGACATCTTATCATTTTATAAGAACATTTTTTTCTATGATCTTCAATGTTTTTTCTTTGTAAAACTTCTTTACAGTCAGGATGATCTTCATGTTCATCACAACGCACAGGAACAAATTGACAATCTGTCTTCGAAATCAAATAAAAAAGTTAATAAAAAAATTTTCATTAATTATTAAATAAATTTATGAACTTTAATTATTATATAATTATATCTATTTACTTTTAAATGTATTTTTAACGCTCCCCTAGTTCCCTTCCAATCACATTCAGGATATCTACAATAAACCATTAGTTGATCTAAATCATTTTGAACTTTTATTGAGATTTGTAACTCATTTTCTTGACAAGGTGTTCTACAAATAGGGCAAGATTTATTCAAAGATAAGGCTTGAGCAATACAAAAATGACAAAATAAATGTTTACAACGACGTGTTCTTTTGACATTAACAAAAACGTCATGGCAAATTGAACAGTATAAATCTTCATTTATGGAATCTGGCTCAATATAACGGTATTCTTCTTTTGTTAATGTTGCAATAGAGGGTCTCTTTGATCTATAAGAATGTTCTGTCATTTTTTTTAATATAATTTTTAATAAATTTTTTATTTTGGTAAATGGTAATACTTTTTGTAATTATTGTCATGGTATTACAAAAAAAATTAAAAATTTAAAATCGAATTGAAACTTTCGAAAAGAACTTGTGTTATGTAATAATTATATCTATAAAAAAAATCGGTTTTTGAAAGGAGACTTATCTATTAGAGGCGTCTTTTCAGTACTTGAAGTTCTAATACAGCCGTATTTTTCCATGATGTGAGCCTCATAGGTCGAATCACTATCAATTGTGTGATATCAAGAACACTTTCACTTGTATTATATAAGAGTATTTGCTGGAAAGTAATCCTCTTCCCAAGTTGAAGTAGACAAAGGACAATTAATATATGATGATGTAACCATGCATGCCATGGTCCCAAAGTTTGTACTACTATTTGATGTTTCTGATTAAAATCACAGTTCCAGAGGGTTTGGCATATATCTTTACGTTGTATGACAAATTTAAATAAAAAAGAACTTTGCACAAATATAACATATTTAATCGAATTTTTACATACCCGGAGCGCCTAAAAACCATTGGGATTACAAAACCACCACATTTCTTTATTAGTTCTAAATTCATTTACAGTTTTACTCTACATCCTTTTCTCAACTTTTACTTTAGTTGCTTTATAGGACAGGAAGGACAACCTTTAGAAGGGAAGGCATAGATTCCGCCCGTTACAATCTCACAGCACTCACAGCATAAAAATTTGATTAAACCAATCATATTACTATTATTAATATTACTATTACTATTACTACGTTGAATATTTTTCGAGTTGTCGATCATTTTTAATCAATTTGGAATAAAAAAAAAAATATAATTTATATAGAAAAATAGACGATTATTCAAACTATTCGAATGGAATAAAATTTTCGTTTTACATAGAGATATTGTCTATAGAGACAAATTAGTTAAGGTGGGCACATTTATTTAAAAAACATAACCTGAAATTGGAAAAGAAGGATATAGCAGCCCTTCCATCTCAGTGTATTATAGGGTCAAATCAATTTCATTGTGAGTCTCTTGCCTGAATCAATTCTCATTCCAATCTTCTCTTTCTTAAATAAAAATCATCAGCTTTCGAAGCAAGGCAATTATGGAATCTCAACTAGAATAAAAATTTGGAATGATTATTTCAAAATGTTTACAATTTCAATGCTGATATTATTTGGGGGTCCTCCCAACGATCACAGGTTCTAACAATACCTAACGAGAAAGTGAACAACGGGAAAGGGAACAAATACAAATAGCAGTATCTGATCAAATTTTTTAAAAAATAAAAAGATTCGATTTAAAAAATTACATCGACTCAAACATTCATTGTTTAAACAAATAGTCCATTTAATCCTTTTTTTTAATTATCATTCATTCTCTTACAAAAACGCAAAGCATGTCAACTGAGCCAAAAATTCATCGTTTTCATATAATAAATTAAACCAAAATGAACGTCGATTTATAGAAAATAGCATTTGAAGTCTTGAAGATGGTTCAACTCTTTGAAGACTGGAAGGTAAACTAACTTCCCTCGTCATTCTTGAACATTCGGAAAAATATCTGCACCTAATCAGAAGCTTAAAAATATTGAATATTGACGATGGTCAATGCAAATATATCTTGTTACATTATGGCATGATATAATTATTCCAACACAAAAGCAGTATATATTATTAGGATTCAATGAGTATTTTTGTACTATAATACATTATTTTTGATATGTTTAACTTTGACCTATAAAGAAAAGGACAGAAATTTATTTAGGTATAATTAGTATAAATTTACATGGAGGTACAAAAGCAGTATAAATCATACATTTCGATATTCGCTGATGTTAAAAGTAGAAATTTAACAAAACTATTAAAACTATAGAAGGTGCCAAAGAATTATTGATAAAGGGAATATAGTATGAACATTTGAATATTTGCAGATGCATAGAATAAAAGGTACAACTTACCAATAATATCAAAGAGGTTTATTATTATAATCTATAAAATATCCTTCATATTGATATCCTGGAGACAATTTTCGTGGCCTCACCACTATTATATATATGATGTATATGTTAAATCCATTAATATATATATATGAAAACAAATAAATTATTATAATTATTACCTGGTATATGGTTTGAACTTTCTACAAATAATTCTTTTTTTATTTCATCTACAAAAACCTTTCCTTCTTTCAACAATTGTTCGGTAATCTCATTATCATGATATCGTATAAATCCAAATGTTAAAAAACTTCTTGACTCTACATCCTTTATTTTTTCATAAATTAATATGTTTATATTTTAAATTCAAAAAAAATAAAAATAAACAAGAAAGGATGTGAAAATTAATACAAACTCTTGCATATTTAAATTCAATTAATTTTCCTCGTTTCTTAAAAAATTCATAAATAGTTTGTGCTTCTTGAAAACTAGCCGGTTTGTCATTGCCACGAAAATAGATCCTTGCCTTTTGCATCAAATTATTTCGTAAAGACATTTTTCTTTTCTGATTGAAATCTAAAAAATACGATTAAAAAAAATTGGTGCAACTTTAAATTAAATGTTTAATTGTCACATTGTCACATGCACACCAGCATAATAATAATAGATAAAAATCCGATCATTGGCTATTATTATGTCACAAAAATCAAGTGAAATTAACCAATGAAAATTATGCACGCAACATTTCAATTTCGTTTATTTTTAGTACTTGTCTAAATTCAAAAAAAATCTCTTCTAAAAATTTTCTTTCTTTCGTCAGGACTGATTATATCGACAAGGAGGATTGATTTCACAACTTATTTTCATCAAAATCAAATTATGTTGATATACTTAACAATCACATAATATAGAGTTTATATAATATATATCTTGATTATACTATACAAGGACCAAAATTTTTTCGGCTTACACCTTTGTTCATTTTATTAAAGATAAATGATAGTTAGAAGCATTATTTATTTATTATTGCTTGAATTATCTATGTATATATTAGTTTTAATTTTTATGTTACATGATCCTCTCTGATGGTTAGTGGTTTGGCAAACCTTTAATCATTAGATAGGAATCCCCATTTGATTGTTCTATGTTGCTTGTATGGATGCCTCAAGTGGTATAGTTGTAAATATTTCTTGTATATATTTTATTTCACTATCTTAGGCTTGTGCCAGCAGTACTTAGCATTAGTAAGAATTGTGCACCCAAACTGTGCGCAAGATAGAGACAGTATGAGAGATACTGATTGAGATATTGGGAACTCCTGAGCTGTGTGTGCAAGACGGAGTTTGAGAACCCTTAGCTGTGTGAAAACTTGAATATTATTGGACTTTTATATTTATTTATCTTATATATTTATCAGACACCTCTCAAGCTGTATTAGAAATCACTCACTTGCATTAGAAATCATATGATAAACAATGGTCTTCTGCCAAGAATTCCTCAATGGAAAACTAAGATGGTGATTGATAAAAATGTTGCTAAAGTAATAAAGAATTTTCTGGAAAATTATGCAGAAGTCCATGGATTACCAAGTCCAGGAAGAAGTACCAATAGAATAACCCAATCAGTTATATTTTTACCAGCTGAAATGAGTTATAAGCCAATGCACAGGGATTTCTGGCTGGTCTAGAAGAAGATAGTAATTTGAAGTCCTTAAAGTATGATGCATTCAGAAAGTTATGGCATCAATTGACACCAGAAATTCAAATTATGAGCCAAGGGCTGACTTATGTGATACTTGATAACATTTTAGAGATGATTTACATTATAATGCTCACCAAGAGGAAGAAGCTAAAGAATTACTCAAAAGATTTGTGCTATTACCATAATCTAAAATTAAATAATATTTAAGAATTTGTTCTGCTACTTTTATAAAAGATCCCCATCTAGTGATACATGGATATTGAAACCTAAAAAACATCTATCTACTAAATTAGCAGAAGAACAAAGAAAATTAGTTAATCAATATTATTCAAAGGGTAAAACACTGTATTGCTACTGCACATTATAGTTATTATTGTGCCAAAATGTTCATGTACATTTATTAAGCAAAAATCCTATTGATAGTAATAAGAAAATTCAAAGACCATAATTTAAATCCATGGCAAGTTGTGAATATCTGGATTATTGAGCAGTTCAAATATTGTTAACATGTGTCTTGGATAAGATGAAATCATTATGAGTTCCTTATCCACAAAGTAGCCAATATCAATTTTCAAGTCATTCTGCAAGGAAACACATCCATATTCCATACACTGATGTAGTTACACTATTGGATCTGTGGTGTTGATTGCCCAGTATAGAGTCAAAGCACATGTGATGCCTTACTCGCAGAAAAGTTTGTGTTTTTTTGTGGTCATAGTAATCCTGACTTGTTGAAGATAGGTGTTATCCATACAAGAGGCCAGGCACCAGACAATCATTAAATACTAATACTACTAATACTAATATACTAATACCCTGAATATCTGCAGTTAGTCTATCCTAGCAATCAAATGGAAATTCTATAATTCAATATCTAATTGATAATCAAATGTTGACTGATAATATTATTGAAAGTGGACAAATTAAAGGGTTTATAGAAAGAAATGCTTGGGTATGTTTGCGTGTAGAAAATTTTTCTATACAATTAATTTAATTGCCGACCCGTCTATGAATCAAAGCATTTTATTAAATAAATTTTGGGGCGATCATCATATAAAAACTTCTAAATGCATAAGAATCGTCATGAAAAGTTAGCACATACACAATATGTAACTTATGTGAAAGAATAAAATAAAACCTAATTTTTAAAAAGACAAAAAATTTTCGTGATCAAATAAAATTTCAGAATGTTTTGTTATAGACAAATTCATTGCAGGCCAGGCTATATTTGTGTTTGTTTTTCTCCTTCAGGCATTTTTCAATTATTGAAAGTCCACCTAGTTTGCAGCAAATAGGTCACGATGAAGTGTCGGAACAAGTTACCAACAGAAATAAGTTGAAGTTTATGTTTTTGTGAAGATATCATAAGTTAATTGTGAGGAAATTGAGATTTATGAAATTATCTAATTTTATACTATTAAATGTAGATCATTTGCTCCGATTGATAGACGAATTGGCAATTAAAAGACTTTTTTAGATCAAATTGAATGACATTTCAAAAAAGGAACTAGACATAGAGCCACCAACGATAAAAACAAAATTATCATTTCTTTGATTATTTAATGAACATTAAAACATTAAATGAAGAACTAATAATAATATTACAAATATAAAATACAAATGATGCTGAAAATAGTAGGAAAGTTAAATAAGGTCCCAGAAATTCGTCATGTATGTTACAATTTTAATTCAATATTATCACAATTAAATACTCTTGTCACAAAGGAATTGGATTTTTTCATTGGAATCTTTACTTCCATGTCTTGAATCATACCATAAAAACATTCAAAATATGAGAATAGAAGAAAGCAAATAGTATCATGACGAATATAAAGGAAAAGCTTCCTTTAATAATGATGAATTTATACATCAGATTATTCTGCGGAAGTTTTTACGTTTTTATAAAAGGTTTCTTAAAATCATTTATATATCAAATAAAAAAATTGTTTATGAGAGCAAAATATCAAAGGAATTTATTATATGGATAGAATAAATAGTATCCCTCTTTCGAAAATAATTTTCAAAAATAAATTAAAAACATAATAAATAAAATAATCTATTTTTCTAATCTTATAAATCTAAAGGTAAATTCTCATCATACCACCATGTTTTTAAAGTTCTATCATCACTACAACTAACGAATAAACTTTGCTTAGGATTCCAAATAGCATTATAAACCATGCCTGTATGACCTTTTAACTTCTGTAGTACTTCGCCCGTATCTTGATCCCAAATATATACTACACCATCCTAATAAATCAATTATTTTATATTTAAAAAAATCATTAATAATTATCTATAATTTATAATTAACTTATATTCTTTTTTTTTTTCGGCTTTTACCTCTGATCCCCCAACAATCAATGAATTATTAACAAAGCCTGATCTAATGAAATTTTTTGAAGTGTTTTGATGACCTTTTAATCTTTTGATAGGTCGAGTCTTTATTAAAATCAGGATATATATATATATGTGTGTATATATAGAATTATTATATTTATTAAGATTATAATAATATATAATTAATATTTGTTCATTTATAAATACCGTTCTAACATCCCATAATCTATTGGAGTTGTCTTTTGAACTGCTTAGTAGTAAAGTTCCATTGGCATTCATTTCAACTGAAGTCACCTCCCCTAAATGCGAAGAAATTGTCCTTATACACAATCCTGATACAATATCCCAAAATTTTATTGTATTATCCTTTGACCTATAAAATAAAAATGAATAATCAAAGCTTTATAAAAAAAATTAATGATAATATAATTTAAAAAATCCCTTACCCGCTAATAATCAAATTACCTAAAGGATTAAATACTGTTTTGGATACAGACAATTGATGTCCTGTAAACATTTTTATTAATTGTCCTGTATTAACATCAAAAAATCTTATGATTTTATCATATCCTCCTGTTACAATATGATTCTTTTGAAATTAAAATAATGAATAACAAGTTAAATATATTTATTATAAATAGTTAAGAAATTTTTAATTAAGTTGATTTTACTTCTCCGGGATGAAATTTAACAGTATAAACATCTCCAGAATTTTCGGCTAACGTTGATGTACACGTATAATTATTCGTTTTCATATCCCACAACTAACAACAATTAATTATTAATACACACACACACACACACACACACACACACAAATATATAAGCATGAATAATTATATAATATATATATAATTTTTTTTAAAAACAAAATAAAAAGATAACACTAACTCTAACAGTGCCATCTCCACTGGCACTTGAAACAATAGATCCATTTTTATTGGATGAAACATCCCAAATACGCGATTCATGACCTTCTAAACTTCTAATAAATTTGGAACTTTCTGTGTCCCATATCCTTAATGTGTTATCACTAAATAAATAGGTAAATATACACATGTAAATTTTAATATTTATTAATGAAAAATTATATTTGTGGGCTTCAAAACTTAATTTGCATTGAATTAAGTAAATCAAATCACCTTGACCCACTAACAATCTCTCGACCTTCTTCGCCAATAAATTCCACACATTTAACATTGCCAAGATGTCCACTCAAAGTTGCACGTATGGCATTTGGTATAACGAAACTACTGTAATCTTGTAATAAACTATCGAAAGAATAATTTTTAATAAAAATGATCATAAATTAATTTTAATTATGTTTTTAATAAAATTACATACGTATTTACGCATGGAGCCACACGTGGATGATAGCGTGAAAATTCAATTTGATATGCGACAGCTTGGCGAAGTAAAGTAAGAAGTCGATTTGGTGGTACATGCACGGAACCTTTCTTGTTGAGAAATCATTTAAATACTCTGCTATTTTTTTTCCACAAATCATAATGAAGAATTTCCACGAAAGACAAAAACCATTTCATATACATAAAAACAACTAAATTTTTTAATAAATATTCATACATACCACTTTTACCGGTTTTCTCATAATTCAACATAATTTGAAATTGTTCAGCTAATTTTTCTCTAATAAATATAGATATATAAATATACTGGTTATTAGTAAAACATCTATATCAATACTATATAATATATATGTATATCACCTTTCAGGTCCAATTCCTTCCCAATTTTTGAAAGAAGGCGCGTCATGAACAGCCTTTGCTGTGAGTAAATAACATAAATCTTTAAATTCATTTGGTCTTGTTTGAAGATATTCAAGAGGCTTTAATCTTTTGTTAAGAAATGTAAATGCCTAAAACGGTAAACCTTTTATGATTAATCAATTGAATCATACAAATATTTAAGTAACAAATATTTCTACTAACCTTTTGAGTTTCCTGGTGTTCTATATACTCTAAATATTGTTGTTTATACACAGCATATAGAATACCTTTATGATTTTTCACTAAAGGTTTTGCACACAGCTTTTCTACTTCAGCCCAATCGCCATCTATTGATTTTTTGATGCAGAATTAACTTTATAAGCTAGTTCAAAAAAAGTGTATCAGTATATTTATAGGATATTTTCCTGTATTGTTTATTTATTTTTTTTTTTTGAAATTTATTCTATGATTCTTTCAATAGAGAACAACTTTCAAAAATAAAAAATAAAAAAATTCTTTTCTTTTTATAGTACCAAGTATTGCTTTCTTTATGCGTTTAAAATCCGCAGCATGTTCCTCTCTTTCGTGCCTTTTCACATTTGCCTCATCGTATATTGTCATCTTTGACGCAGAATAACCTTCATCCGAAAGATATTGAATTATCATACGAATTATATCCTAAATAAAATAAAAAAATCTATTAACGACTAGTGTCATATATGGTTTATGTAATATCTCAGCTTCTATTCATACTTCTCTAATTTTGGGATCTTCTGGATTAAAGATGTCTTCAGTAGGTCTTATACATTTTAAATGTACACCTACATGATGATTGGCCGTTGCCAAAGCTACTAGACTGTTTTAAAAATATAGATCATCAATGATATTGTACAGTGTATATTTTCGATATTTCAGATCAAATGTTTAAAATATCACCTTTTCTTTCTTTTAGTATTTTCATCCAATTCATCCTGATTAATTTCTTTTACATCCTGTTGAATAGAGCTAACAGAATTTGGTTCATCATTAGATGATTGAGAATTTTTTTGTTCAGCGTTATTATCTATTTTCGTTTTTATTAACTTTATTCATGTAAAAATTATATTAAAAAATAAATATAGTTAATTATCCTGTGATAAAAAAAATCATTCATTTCATTATATCAAACAAATTTTTTTTACAGAAATTTCTTCCATTGATGAATGATAAATAACAATCTTTTTTTAAAAAAAAATTTTTATATTTTTAAATTTGGTGTAACAGATCCTATTTGATCGTAAACGAGTTTCTTTCATAAATGTATTAGTATGTTGTATGCACACGTCATAATAACAATGTCTAAAGAACATTCACTCAATTTAACAATTTTTATTTAATCCATGAATAAATAAACAAACAAACAAACAAATAAATAATGAATTTTATTATTCTTTTTTATGAAAAATTTTCTTTGCCATACTGGATAATTTACTATGAGATTCTTCAGTATGTTCTTCAGAAACAGAAGATGAACTTGATTCACTTTTTTCACTTTTATGTACCATTTTAATTGCCATCTTGGCTGCATGTTCCACAACTTCATCTATTAAAAAAAATCACGAATTTATACCAACAGTTTTTTCTTATATTTATTCTTAAATATATCTGTTTTATATTTACCTTTTTTCCCAACATCTTCACCCTTCGCTTTTTTTTTCTTCCATATTTTTAAACTTTCAGACATCGCCGATGCAACAAATTGACTATGAAGGTCTTTCTTATCTTTCTTGGTTTTATCACCTTTGTGATATTTCTTGAGAGCCTCAAATGCTGCTGCAGCACCAATAGATTCAGAGTCATGGCTATCATTCTAATTAAGTAAAATTATAAAAATTAAGCCGAGTATTTAAAAAGACTGGCAATATTTAATTTATTATTAAATAGAGAAGTCTTACATCTTCATATACTTTCTTATGAGATCTTGTAAGGACTTCCATATCAAGATCATCTTTATCATTATCAGTGATTGACTGTTGGGCCTTAGTTGCTATACTACGTAAAAGAACTATAAAACCAAAATTATCATGAATAAAATTAAATTAAATGGGGTGAATGAGTTAAATGAGATGAAATACCTGTATCTTCTTCTGACTCTCCAAAAGTATCATTATCTAAAATATTATTCATAAGTTAGTTATTATTGGCCATTATTAACTATTAATAATTAATAATTATTAACTTGAGATAAAATACCACTCATTTTTATTATTATCTGGTGGGAAAGAATAAAAAAAAAATTTATGACGATCAAACTTCAGAAATGAGCACATTTATATAAATTAAAAACTGCATATTTATTTATTATTATAAAAAACCAAAATTTACAAAATAGTTTATAATAAGTAAATAATAATAATAATAGTAAAAGTAATAATATTGGTATCATACACACAAACAATACATTTAAATTAAAGTTCATCCTTATTATTATCTCGTTTTTCTACTGCTAATTTTTGTAAATGAGGACATTTAGCCACAGCATCTTCACTATGTTTACCACCTCCAGTAAGATAAGGACACTTTGTTGCATCACCATCAACATGGTGGTTATGATTTTGATCTTTGAAATGTGGGCATTTTTCAGTATAAGGACATCCAGCTTCTTGAGGTGTTGGTAATTTGCCATCATTTAACACTGCTTTTTCCTTTAACTTTTCGTAATATGGACATTTTCCAGCTGCTGGACAGTTGGTATTATCCCAATCAATATCCTCAAATTTTTTGCCAGACTCTATTGCTTGATAATATGGACATTTATTTGCCAAAGGACAACCACCAGTAGTTTCAGTTCCAAATGTTTTGGTGGTTAAAATCGAAATACAAATCAAAAAAATTAAAGCAAGAAAACTAAATTTTGAATGATGATATCTGTTAATTTTTAACATTTTAATTTTTGTATTAATATTTGAATTTTTTTATTCTTAAATAAAATTAAAAATACAAAAGAATTAAATTGTTCCTATATTCCTATACTCCTATATTATATATGCAATGATTTCGCGCAGTTGAAGGGAGTTGATTTAGTCCTACGTTATTTAATTGATTACGTCTTTTGTCGTGTAACTCTGGAATTTTATTAAAATTTAAAAAGAAAAGCCAATCTTATTATGAATTTAGAGTATGACAACATATAATTTATAAATCAATCACATTGTTCTCATAATATACGGGGTTCATATGCAACCAGGAAAATCCTCATATAGTAATCGACCCAAAAACATAAACTCATGTCGAGCTTCTTTACTTTGGCTTTGACTTGGTTTTTCTGGATTAATTTGTTTTGTGAATTTGGCTTTCATAGTTTTTGAGCTCGAGTTTATCATTTTCGAAGTTTGCTTTGATTTTGTGTTACTTTCCTTATTCTCATTTAAATGTCTTTCAATATGTTTTTCAAGCTAGTAACTTTAAATAAATTTTAATTGCAGAACCCTATTATTTATTATCTTTCCTCAATTGCTTAATAAAGTTAGTCCCTTACTTTTGACTCGGTCTTCTCGTGATCAAAGATTAGTACAATGAATCTCGCAGATTATGGCAAAAAAGTCTATACAAATTGTTTATTCCTAATATTTATTAAACAATAAATATACAGGATTAATTTACATCACGGAACCTAAAAATTATAGTACCATCAGAAGTATTTTAAAAAAAGAACAAGGTAAGATTGCTTCCCATATTTTTAAAATAAGGCGATTTAAATAAAGAAGAATTACCTATGAGATTTGTCAAAAGCGAAAGCTTATCAAGAATCTAGAAAAAAGTGAAAGAAAATAAAAAAATTTTCCAAGATTATGGATTTACAACTTTGTCCTAATCAATTATTCATTAGCATAGTATACTAGTTTTGGACAAGCGGTATCCTTAAATTCATCTCTGACAAAGGACAGGAATTGTTATAAAGATATTCTTGATGCTTAAGGTCCACAGGAGTGTCAGTATCTGAAATGTTAAATCTTTAATTTTTTCTATTTCCTTTGTTCTTCTGGCATAAATTAATTAAGGGACTGAGATAGAGGGAAATGTTGAATCTTTGAATCCAATTCAACTTCTTAAAATATACCTCTAACTAAATTAAATTTAAATGTCAAAACATTGAAAGCTTTTGCTGGCATTATAGCAATACTAGATTTTCTTGCAAAATACACAACATGATTTACACAATCAATATTGGTTTCTGTGTAGTTTTTTAATCAGGCCAAAGCTTGCCATCACATTTGAATTTGGTGTGTCCAGGAACCATAAAATTAAATTCAATATTTTCATAATAATAACCACAAATTACCACAGATAAATAAAACCGATTATTTTATTTTGTCTACCAACATCACAAATAATCTTCAGATGCTTTTCGCCTTCTTAATTCCATTAAATGACATGTTGAATGTACCATTAGCTACCAGTTCATTTTCATTAAGAGAATATGGACTTTGCACAGACTAAGATAATAATACACTTGCTTGTTGATCATAATGTGGCATATATAGACATTTTGGGCTTAGTCAATACTACAATACTGCTTTATCTTACCTTTTGCATTGTATAGCTCTGATAAACATTCTTCAGCTAATTTGGTATTCTATCATAATAGTTTCTTTCTAATTTTGCTTTTGACAGTTATTTAGCAAGTCGGTGGTTTCTTCCTCTTTGCAAATCTTATAACGTAGGTTATTTCTAAAATGTTGACAGGCATCACATAAATCTGTCATTGGACTCATAATTTGCATTTGAGGGGTTAGTTGATGTTTGTTACAGCTTGTAAAAGGCATCATACTCGAGAAGAAGAAAGTCCCGGTGAACAGATCTATCTATAGATAGCTTTAAATAGTAAGAATAAGTAGTTGGATAACTAAACCTATTTACATTTCTTCCTGGACTTGGTAATCCATGAACCTCAGCATAATTTTCCAGAAAATTTTTTGTCGATCAACATTTTTGTGACATTCTTATAGACGCTTGATATAGACTATTGTTTATCAAAATAAAATGCAACCAATTTCCAGAGCATATTAAGATATGTTCTTTTGACAAAACGTAATAAAAAATGACGAGATTAAAAAATACATGTCAAGTTTGCTACAAATAACCTAAATCTTTGAGAAAAATTTAGGAAGATTAAAAAGTTCAAGTAATATTAGCGAATAGTGAGCGAGACAAGTCAGCTGATTTTTATTCAATTCATTTTTAATGGATCGATCAATTTAATTTTTGAAAACTAATAAATAATATTAATGTATAACAAACAAACACAGCATACATAAATAAATTGTTACGCGATAATTTAATTTACATTTTTAAAAAACCACTAGCAATCCTTGCTATTATTCACTTTAAAAAATGGACTCCAAATCATTAAATTAATTTAAAATTATTAACACGAAAAAAATAAAGATTTATTTAAAGTAATACAAATACAATTTTAATTTTAATATTAATATAATAATAGTTATTATTATCATACAATATTTCATTCATGTTTTATTTTTATTGTTAATTTTAATTTTTTTAAAAAATCATTCATTAGATTTTCCATTCATTAGATTATTATTAGTTCCTTCTCACCCTCACACCTTTCAAACTTTCACACCTTTTTCCACATTTTCATTCACCTTTCTCATTCACCCATTCACATTATTTTCACATTCATCACATTCAATTTTTCATTTTTTTTAATTCATATTTATTATCAATAAAAAAAAAAAAATTCTAATGTTTAAATTTGGTTTTTTATTTGAAAAAAAGAAAGAGGTATTTTAATTTTCTATTTTTTTTTAATGATTAAGATTGACCTTTTAAAAGTTAACAATGTGAAATATATATGTGTGTGTGTGTAGTGTAAGAATCCCACTATCGTGATTAAACCAGAATTACCGGTTTTTGAATGGCAAAAGGTTGAAGAAACAGGATTGGAAGAAACCATAACTCAAGCAACTATAACATTAAATCAACCTGAAGATGTAAAAGTGGACAGTAGTCGTAGAAATTTAAGAGTTAATAATAACCGATCAAGGAGTAGTAGTTTAAATGCCGAATCAAGCAGAATACGTTTGATGCAAATAATTGAAGATGAAGAATCTAGAAAAATATTTCGCGATTATTTGGTATCTCAATATTGTGAAGAAAATTTGGATTTTTATATGGATGTGGCAAATTATCGTGAATTTTTTTGTACTGCCGGATTACATATAAATGAAGATATGGAAGAAATTAATTCTAGAGCTGTTTATATATGGAGTGAATATTTAGATGATGATACTTCTCCAAAGTCTTTAAATGTACCACAGGATTTGGTAAATACTTGTAGACGCAAAATCGAAGCAAAATCTCACACTATTGATGTATTTGATAAATTACAAGAACATTGTTTTGGCCTAATGGTTCAAGATTCTCTGCCAAAATTTACACGTAATTCTATTATAATCGATCAATGTAATAGTGATAATGATAGTAATAATAGTAGTAGTAACAATAATTCTTCATTAAGTGTATCGTTAAATAATAATGGAAGTGCCACATTTTTGAGACCGCCATCATTTGTTAACAAATCACAAAATGTTCCAAGAAAATCTCCCTCTTCTGGCTCTCTTCGTGTAAAAATGATTTCTACTATAGTTTCATTAAAGTCAACTTCTGATTTAAGTTTAAGTACTGGAAAGATCATCACAAATTTTATTAATCACAATAACAATGTGAAATTCATCAATACTGTTGTTAATAATGATAAGAACGATGTCGATAATGGTACTGCTACATCACCTTCTCATACATTATCACCACCATTAACACCAATTTCCCCAGCATCAACTATTAATTCTATATCAACACAAGAGAATAATACTCCATCAACAGCTGCATCAACGCCAACCTCATTGACATCAGAAAAACATGAATATGATAATTTCACTCTTTCACCACCATCACCATCACCATCATCTTCAACAAACTTTACAAATAACAATGCAAGCCATCAACGAATATCAATGGCCTCAATATCTAACATCACACGTCGTATATTATCACGTAGACGTAATTCTACCAGTTCAAATTCAAGTCGATTATCCATATTCGATTCCAATAGTAGCAGTAATGATAAACTATCTGCAATGCCCGGTTCATATCCTTTTCGTTCCGATGAAAATAGTATACGAGAAAATTGTGAACTTGAAAATGAATCTACTTCAACTGATCTAGTTATATGGCAAAAGTTACGTCGTAACGTTTCAACTCCGAATTTTCAACAACGTCATTTAACTCAACATAATCTACTCTACATTCTTGATAAAAATCTTCCACCGATCCCTGTTGTTGGTACACGAAGGCGTAAAGAATTATAGAAAAAAAAAAGAAAAAAAGTGAATATTACCTAGTAGATGTTTTATTTATTAATTATTTTTACTCGGGAAGTAAATTGTAACATTTATTATAGGTAATACTATATACAGTATCTAACCATCATAATCACCACAACTAATTATCTATTTATTTGTTTACATAACTTACTATTAAATCTTTTTAATTTGTATATTTTATTGATAATTTAAAAAAGAAAATATTAGTTTTTTTTCTTTTTAAATTATTTAAATATACAGTGTAACAAAAAATTTGAATAATGTGAAACAATCACTGCGTTAATTCTCGGAACTTTTTAATTACATGCTGGCTGATATCTTGATTTAAAGGATGGCCCCGGCTAATTGCAGTTCTCATCTTTAATGATGACCAATGTAAAATTTTCATCAATTCTTCAACAGGTCATTTAACAATTAAGATATTGATAAATTTATTTCAAATGACAGATTAATAAATTATATAAAATATACAGCGAGCCCTATTTCCCAAAAGGAAGGTATCAACCGTAAAACTGGTTTATCATACTGTACCATTTGGTGACCACGTACAGTTTGTGCTATATGTGCCTCTTCTTAAAGGATGCGCTTGCGGGCTGGTGAGTAATTAAAAGGCTTGCTTCACGAATTGTAGAAAATTTTGAGTAAAAAGTCCTTGGTAAGTTTTTTTTGCCCCGTTTTCACAAATTTGGCCATGTGGCACAACATTCAATAGATAAATTGTGTAATATCATGTGATTTCAGAAGCAATTCTTTTCTAATGTCGAAATAAATATTTGAGAATGGAAATAGTTGTGTAATTCGTGGATGAATGAATGTGTCCCCTTATTCTAATAATATAATTGCAAAAAAAAAAAGCAACAAAAATTACACAAAAACCAATTATCAGATTCAGTTAAACAATGAATAATGTAAAAAAGCAAAGCTTTTTTGTTTTAAAATTTATTCGAGACAATTTTTTTTTTAGCAAAGTTGTGACATCAAATAATTTTCCAAAATTTTTTGTTACACACTGTACATATGTAACTGTTTTTATAGATCTTCTTCTTGTAATTCTTGAGAAATCTCATATTCATACATATCCAATGCCACTTCACAACTTTCTTTGACAACCCTTTCTTGATCCTCTTTAAATTTTTTTAATATTGGTAGGCACTCTGGTGTAGCGATCGATCCCAAGGCTTCTGCTGCCTCATGTCTAACCATATCTAGTTCATTTACATTTTCCAACGCTTTTTTTAACGCAGTTACACTTGCTGGATTTTGCATTTGCCCAAATACAAAAGCTATTTCATGTCTAAACAATGCTGATGATTGATCTTCTAATCCCTTGGCAAGTTCTAGAACTGATTCGGTGGTGCCTAGATCTCTTAATGTAAACATGGCCTTATATCTTTCAAATAGTGGCAAATTTGTATCCATTAGGATCTTACCAAGTTCTGTGGCTGATTTAATTTTTGTGTTTGGTGGAGCAGGATCAATTGATTTATATATACTTTTTTTGAAAGGAAAAAAAAATAATAAGTAAATTTAAATTATTTGAAAAAACTATTTTAATTATTTTACCTATTTGAAATATCGTTATCATTACTATTCTCGAATTTGATCTTTTCAATAGCCAACTCACAAGTTTCACGAACAACAACTTGTTCATCATTTAAATATTTTTGCAAAACCTCCATGGATGACAAATCCCCAATTGCACCAAGAGCCTCTGCAGCCTTTCTTAAATCATAATATTTTTAAAATTCAATATCGTTTTTTTTTTAAAAAAAAAAAATTTTTTTAATCACTTACCTCATGTCTAACCATTGGATCTTCATTTTTATTAGTCAAAACTTTACAAAGAATTGGAATAGCATAGGGATTTTTAATTTGTCCCAAAACATAAGCAAGCTCATGCTTCAACAAAGTTGAATCATCACCGAAAAAAGCCTTTGAAAGTATATCGATACTTTTTTCATCTGCGATGTTTCTTAAAGTAAAGATTGCTCTAAATCTTTTATATAAAGGTGTTTTACCATCTTTATTGGTTAAAATGTTTTCAAGGTTTTCATAAACTGAGGAATTTATAATTTCTGAAGATTTAATTGTTGTAAAGGATTCATTAGAGATTGTCATTTTATTTTTTTTTGAGTGAACACAAAAAAAAATTATTTTATTATTTATTTATTTATTTTTATTCGTTACAATTTTTTCTTTCCTTTTCCTTTTTTTTTTAATTAACTAACCAAACCAGATTAAATTAAATTAGATAATAAATATAAAATAAAATAAATATAACAATGATAATAAATAATAATAATAATAATAATAATAGTAATTAAATTAATGATTATCTGTTATTATTATTTTTTGTTGTAAAGATAATATAATGAACGCAAATCTAAACTACTCCAAGCCAACCCAAACACATATTAAGCATTGTCTTCAGGAATTCGTACTTGATCTGCTTTAATATTATAATTATTTATTTGTTGTTTTTTTCGTCTGGTGAAAAATAGAGCCGCTAGCAATAAGACTATGATAAAGAACGCAACAAGTGATACTGCAATTATTGGCCCAACATTTGTTTGGACGGTTGTACCGGGTACATCACTTGAATCAGAGTTTTGAGCTGGTGCGGTTTGTGTTGAATCTGGATCAGCTGGTACGGTTTGTGTTGAATTTGGGTCGGCTGGTAAGGTTTGTGTTGAATTTGGATCAGCATTTTGAACTGGTGTTTCGGTTGCTGATGGTGGTGTTGATGTGGGGGACACTATCGTTGTTGAAGCCTTTTTTTTTGAAGAAGTTGGAGCTGGAGCTGGAGTTGGACTTGAAGATATAGGATCTACGGAGACTGGAACTTGTGTCGATATTAAGGTTTTGGTGACAGTGACGGTGGTAGGCATCGATTGTGAAGGTGGCATAGGATCTTCTGGTGATTCTGATGGCATCGGTTTCATTTTACGTTTATCTACGCCCTGCGCAGAGACTAATTTATTAAAATTTTGTTAGTACTATACACACACGCACGCACACACACATATATATATATACGAGTAAATATATTTTACCTAAACTGAATGCTAATACAGCCCAAAGGATCAACCTTAGAGTAGTATAGATTAGCGTTATTTTCATTTTTAAATAATATATTTATGTATAAAAAAAGAACTTGAGAGAAGGTCAAAGCAAATTTATGAAAAAGTATTTATTATATTAATTAATTGATTAATTAATAAAAAAAAAAAAGGAAAGAGGAAAGAAATGAAATGGGCGTAAAGTTGAATTAATTCAAAACCAAAACTATATATACATTTTTTTTTGATAATTAAAAACGTGGCATAAAAAAAATGATCCTTTTTTTTTGAAAAAAAATGAAATCGTGCGGTGTATTGTAAGGTCGGTCAATTGATTTCCAAAATTAGAAAGTAAAAAATATAAACAATATTAATTTTTATTTTTTATTTTTAAAGAATGCGCTTCAAACGTTCAAACAAAGAACTTGAAACAAATAAATTCGAATATTGTTTGTATATATTAACCAAATCAGTGTAACAAAATTTCTAATGTTATATTGTAATTATGGAAATTAAGATATTTTTAAATCAACAATATTACATCATCGATATACAAATTTCAACCAATCCCATAATTTCTTTTACAAACGAATCTAATACATAAGCACTCAACAAATTTAAATTGATTTTTTTCCTTACCGTCTTTATCGAGGGGGCATGATATTCTCAATGAGGTAACATCCGAGAGTTTGTCTGCCAATACCCACATCAACATTTTACGATGCTTATTCTAAGCATCAATTTTTGGAAAAAAAATTTCCAAGTAGTAATAAAAGGTTGAACATATATAGTAAAATGAGGTTGAAGTCACTTACTTGGTTACGGAAATCGCTGCGCCCCTGTGTCAATTTTTTAATATTAATAGAAAATTAACTGGATTTTTTTGGGGGGGGGAAGTGAATTGTTGGTATTGTTCAAAAAACTGTATTAAATATCCGTAAAAAGCGAATTAGAATATTAATATCATTTTTGTCGTAGTACGAATTTATAAATATGGCAATGACGATATTATCCGTTGTATTGGATAATAATAAATAAAAAAATATTCGCTAAATCGAATATATATGAAATCTGTTAAAATAACGAGACTCGTTGTGTATGACAATAGCAATAGTGTAAAATGCGAAATTCCGCTAATTTAAAATTTTCAGATATGGATATTTTTATAGAATGAACTTCAATAATATCTGCAGCTCATAATCATCACAAAGAACATTTTGAACTTTGTAAATTAAACATAAACAAAATTGTTTTCATCTTCATTTGTTATTATTTTATTTCAATTGAAAAAAACCCCAAATTAGTAATAAAAATTAATAACCATAAAGAGAAAGGATTCCGTTTTGTTGCTTTTTTTTGTTATACGTATTTTGAGTGCAAATTCAACCGACAAATTATCACGACCTCCACCATCACCGGGATCAGCAGCGATGAAAGCCGCTAGGAAGCGACCAGCATCGGCCATATTGTGTCGATCAATGAATCATTGTTTCCCAACAGTTATTGGGTTATAATTATTACCATTCAGGGTAATTAAAGGATTTACATCTTCAAAAAAAGCTTAGTATATAACAATAATGAATTAATTGCAGATTGTTTAGTGGCGGGAAAATATTTCTTCCCTTTTTTTTTTTTTATTATAATTATAAATACAACCTTTGAACGGTTTAAAGCATTTGAGGGAGTGCTTATGATCGTGATCACGATCACTATCAAGATAAGGATAAGGATAATATAGATAAAGATAATAAATAAGTACAAATAATAAGAAAAAGAAGCCGATAATGAAAAATGTTCAATGGTCAAAAGGTTTATATAAACGCAATCAATTTTGTAAACCATTTTTTTCCTTTCGAAATTTTCCAGAGATCGTCAAATATAGACTGTTATAATTATATATTGCACTGATTTAATTGAGTTCATGTTTTTTATAACAGTCAAATATAAACAAAGCACATATGTATATTTTACAATAAATTAGGCCAGAGATTATAAATAACGCATAGACGGACATCTTCCCAGCGTAAAAAAAAAAAAAAAACACGCAAACAACGAATGAAAACATATTGTTAAAGAAAAAAAATTTACTACGAGTAAAGATCTTCATATATCATTGGGTTTTTTTATCTATATAATGAACCGTCGACCCTCACTCTCAACTCTCTTATCTTTCTCCTCTCTTTCCTTTTCTCTCTCCTTTTTTTTTCTATCGCCTCTCAAGAAGATTGTTTAAAAAATCGAACATTTTCCATATGACAGTACGGAGTTCATCAAAAAAAAAACTAAAGTATAAAAAGAAACAATTGGCAATTTTAGAGAGTGACATGGCAAGTTTTCGATTTTTTCTTTACTATATATTAATAAAAAAAATTTTTGGTTTGGATACAAAATTCTAATTGGTTAATTTGGATTTCATGCGTGCGAATTTCCATTCTGAGAATATTAGTAAATTTATTTTTTATTTAAAAAAGTGTTTATTTTAAAAAATAGTATTAAATATCCTGAGCAATTTTTTCAGGAGGTAAATTTTCATAAGCGATTCGATAAATCGTGGTAAATAATTTAAATCTAAAAGGTGATAAAAATTAGAATTGGTTTTAAATGATTTACAATAAGTAAAATTATTCATAGTCATAACTTACTCGCTTTCCAATTTTTTACGACTCAATACCATGTATAATTCTTTTGCAGTCAAAGTTCCTTGTAATTTTTGTCCATTCAATAATTCATTTTCTAATTCTTCGAATGACTATATATTGATCGATAATTAAGAATCAATAAATCTTTTGTTTGTTCATTCAGTCACGCAAATAATTAATCAATCATCACTCAAGGAAAAGAAATCTCACCTTCCCAGTTAAAACATGAGCCTCAGCAACTTTCCTATTCCTGCCTCCATAACAAGTAGCAATCACATCGGCAATTCCACAACTCTCAAAAAACGTTTCTTCTTTAACACCATGATAAAACATTTGAATAAACTTCTTCATCTCCAAAAATCCCACTCTAATTATCGCCGCCTTTGCATTCTCGCCCATTTTCAATCCATCAACTATTCCTGCTCCTATCGCGATAACATTTTTCAATGCTCCACATAATTCCACACCAGTAACATCCTCAATTATACCAACTCGAAAATAATCTGTTTCAAATATTTTTTGAAATAGTTGCCCTTCCTCAAGAACGGAACACCCAATTGTTGTCTCTGAAAAATTCTGTGCAGCTATTTCATTAGCAATATTGGCTCCACTCAACGTACAAACTGGTATACAAAGTTTGTCTTTAATTGTCTCTGATACTGGCAGAATACCGGTTTCTGATACGTCAAATCCTTTGATTAAAGTTATTGCCTTGGCTTTAGGATGTACTCTGCCTCGAATCCGCATACATACTTCGTGAACAAACTATATTGATATTGGGAGGAGTAATGAACGTAAGCATAAATATAATCGTGTAAATATATATTCACTTACAAAAATAATTCAATATTTGCCTGATGAGGAATCACAAAGATTAAAACCGTAGCATTATCAATTGTGTCCAATAATTCGGGTTTTGCTACTACATTTTCAGGAATTTTATAATCAGGAAGATATTTAACATTCTCGTGATCTTCATTAATTATATCTGTCAATTTCCTGCCTTGGATTATCTCTTCATATACCCACATTCTAACTTGTGAATCAAATCCTTTATGTCTCTTTACATTGTCCCCTACTATTCTGGCAATTACCGTTCCCCTGTATTTTGGTAAATGGTTGTGATGATGGTGGTTATGGAATGATGGAGTAAATAAAATTATTAATTTATTTTGTAAATAAATTAAAATCAATTAAATACAAGGTAAAATTTTTTTACCAATTTCCTGATCCAATTATTGCAACTCTTTCTCCTTCACTAACCATTCTAGATTCTTTTCTTCCGTTCATTTTTGAATTATTTCTATTATGTTTATGTGTGGAAATAAATTTAAATTGACAACTATGGAAATTTTTTTTTAGTTTAATTATTACTGAAGATGATGATAATATTGTTGATGATGATGTAAAATTTGATTTTTTTAAAAAAACTTGATTATTGATTATTTTAATTAGCGTTGTAAAATTATTATTATTATTATTATTATTATTATTATAAAAATTATATTTCATATTTTTTATCATCATGAGAATTTATATTTTTTTTTTCTTCCTTCACTAATCTATTTTTTATAATATTAATTTGTAATACGATTTTGGTTAATATAAAATTTCACATGTTCATGTAATACAAAATATCTTTTTTCGTGGGAAATAAAGATCGATGATATGTGTCAATCTGCAAGTAATTTCCAACCTTTCATTCCCAAAATTTATATTAAATATATTATAAAAAAGTGGGACAGGCATATTTTAATAACCGAGTAATAAAAAAAAATGTAGATTTCTCTTTTATCTATCTATATACTCGATCAACTTTGATTGTTCGATAGAAATAGTAGACACAATTGGCATCCAAAGAAAATATTTTTATAAATAAATAATGTTATTTATTTGTTTATCGTATTTTATCATGCACGTCATTTTTAGTTCACAGGTTCGTCCATTCTTTTTCTTAACAATAATAAAAACAATCAATAACGATAATATCATGAGTATTCCCGCTGACAATATCATTTTTTTCTCATGGCATATAGGTTTTCCCGGCTTTCGCTGATAGAATCGTTATTGATTACTCAATACGGATAATAACCTGCATCACTTTCAAAATTACAATTAATTTAACAATTTTTGCTATTAAATAAATAACGAGGCTTCTGCTTGAGGACAAGTTTCGAGTTGATAAATCTATATATATCAAGCCAAACCATTCGCTGGAAAAGACATATTTGGTCTGTTCCACCCAATTTATTTTATTGTCATCAAAAAAGTTTAGATACTTATTTCCTACTTATTTTTACAAAACATACTTAAATCAAAAAAGATGATCCACTAATTATTTGCAAAATATGTATTAAAACATTCTTATTTTCACAGTAATAGGAATGTAGGTAGATATCCTAATTATATACTTAAAATATACCTCTGAGTAATTTTAATAATTTTTAAAACATATTTATTTTCTTGATTTTGTAATTTACTTTATATATCCTTAAACATACTTGAATTTGAAATACAAATAAATAAAACTACTCTTTTTGCATCCCAAAGAATTGACCAATCCAATTTCACTTCTGACTGATAAATGAATGTAGATGACTAACAAGATTAAAATTTCGTATGCAAAGTGGGCAAAAAAAAATTTTTTTAATCAATTAATTCATTATTAATTAATAATATTTTTTAGGCCGTTTGATGGAAAAGATTTAATCGTCACAACATCTTTATCCACCTTCAGGCAATCAAAATCAAATGAAAGGATACCCAATTGGTCCCAAGAAGGAGCTCTGCTCATCGCCACATAGATCTGATCTGGGGCAAACATATTTTCATCAATCGTTAGAATCGCATGTGGCAATGTCACGCCTTGAGTCTTGTGAGTTGTCAAGGAAAATGCATTCTGCAATGGGAATTGGCACCTCGAGGCATGTTTATTTCAAAATTTATAGTGATTTTTTGAACGTTCATTTTAATAATGTTACCATTAATTGGAAAAGTAATTTCTACATCATCATCATCTATAACTTTGGTGATCACACACCTATCATTCCATTGCGGACGCCATGTTCAAACAGCTTACCAACAAACTCACACTTTAATATTTTAATATTAACTTCTCGTTATCATATAACACTATCTGTATCAAAAAAAAAAATCACCAATCGTAAATTTTAGCCATAATTTAAAAGATATTGTTTATTGTTAAAAAAACAGATTCTGTTTGATAATAATAATATTCAAATAACTTTAGTTACGCAGCTGCGGGACAATTTAAGAAACCGTTTTTCGGATTCGGATTTTGACGTAGTTTTTATTTTTGCCCGAAGTAATAATTTTGGTTGCACAGCTGTGTAATGTTTCTCGGATTTTGTTTGACGCGAATCGGTTTACCAGTCCCGTATTATTTTAATAATTGTCTTTTGTTCCAAGTATATATTCCTCAAAAATAAACAATTGGAAAAAAGTAATAATTCAGAATTTAATGTATTTACCAAAAAAGTAAATTAATACCAAATCACATGAGCTATTCCTAAAAAGTCTTGGTCGATTTCTCTGACAAAAAAAATTAGTAATATTAACAACAATATAGTAATATCTATTATTTAATATAATGTTAATAATAAATATCTATTATTTACGACAAAATATCAAGTTCTTATTTATTATTATGTATCATCCCAATTTGATAGATGATCAAGGGTCTGGGTCACTTTACCGAAAAAACACTTTACCCGACAATCAAGTAAGGTTTCTAGCCAAACTGTTTCTCAAAGCTCGAACTATTTTGGCAGTTTTGGCTTTTCAACGTTCTTTATATAATAAGGGTGTGAGTTTAACATTCCAAATCATTATTCTTTTTTTTTTCATAAAAATTCAAGAAATTATGTTTAAAAGTATTCAAATACGATTTTAAATTTAAAAATAAATTCATCACAATTATAATAAATCAATTAAATAGACAAAAAAAAAATATTACACATGTATCTATATGGTATTTTTATGGACTGGTTTTTGATCAAAGTAAGGATAATAAGTTGTGTTATTAGTTAATGATTTGTAGGGCAAGGTCAGTACTCGATCAACAGTTAAGCTAACTTGTCCGTAAAACCAAACTTTTAGCTTCTACATAGAGTTATCCAGGTCTTCACATAGTCCTTGGCAAATCGTTAAAACAATGCCTGTTGGTAAAGCTTTCTGTTGGTAAAGCGTCCTGTTGGTAAAGTATCTGTGTCGGTAGTGTCTTGTTGGTAAAAGTGGCTGTCGGTAAAGTGTCCTGCCGGTAAAGTGGTTGTCGTTAAAGTGGGATCAACAATCAACATATTTTTTATTCGACTATATAATAAACCCTTTTTTCGAATAAAAAAAAATTTGTGGAGCGGAAGTTCATTGCAATATCATTGCAAACAACAGGCAAGGCGCATGCAATTCAAAGAACTCTTTTTTTAATAAACAGAATATTTGCCGTACGACTCAAAATTCGCTTAATAAGATGAAAACGTTGATCTCACCAAAAACCAAATTAATTTGCAAAATCGACAAAAAATTGCGAAATTTAGAAAATGGCAAATTTTCTTTTATCTGTTAAATTAAAAAATAAATAATAAATTAAATTAATTAAAATAACCAATGATTTATTTGATTAATTACACAACAAGGGTATTAAGGTGAGGAAGACCAGGGTGCGAAATCCTATTATAAAATTCCGGGCATTAGAATGTCCAGTAAAAATTTTGGAAATAGGCATTTTCCAATTACACATTTTTAATATTAATCTTAATACAAATTATTTATTCTAATTATTCTAATTATTCGTTTTGGTTTATTGCTATTATTATGCACGCGACCATCAAGGTAAGTAATAATATATTACTAATAACTAGATATAGATAATAAAACAATGAGATGCAGCATAAAAAACAATTAATAATCAACAAAATAAAGAGATATAGAAAAAAGATACCGATTATGAAATGATTATGAAACGAACAAAGAGAAAATAGTGAAGAGCAAGCAAGTAATCAGCAATTAAAGAATGATATTGCTAAATTGAAACAGCAATTGAAACATTTAAATGAGAATAAAGAAAATGTCCCAAAATGAAATTATTATTCAAGTCAGACAAGGCGGATAAAATCGGAAACAACTAAGCCAAGGCCAAAAGAAGAGCAAAAATTTCATTTTGTCAACTCATTGAAGTCACGTGATTTGGTACGTGTAACATCAAATTCGATTATATCAAAATATAATGATCATTTGTGATATATGAATTTATATTGTACTACATTTAATTTCAATTGTTTTAAAGTACTAATGTGCGCAAACATGCATAAAAACTCTAAATACTCGCAAAAAAAAATATTTATGATTATTTTCTTTCCTTATGTCCTTTCATTTAAAAAAAGGAGATATGTTAAGATACAATTCATTGCATGGGTTACATATGAATATACAAGGCAAAAAATTTTTTATTATTAAGGTAGATATTATTATTATACAAGATGAATTATTATTATTATTATTATATAAAATAAATAACGAATAGAATAAAATATGAATTATATAATAAAAAAATAAGTTTTATAAATATTAAGATTTCCTAGCTAATAATGATGAAAAGGAAGAGATGACGAAGGCGGGACATTTCACCTACACTATAAAATCCCAAGTACTGTAGAAGAGGAAAAAAGGGATATTATCCAAATACACCATAGAAATTAATTAATGAAAATGTAAATATAGAAAACAAATATAACATAATATTAAAAATTAAGTATATACAAAATAAATAAATTAATCATAATATAAATCACATACAAACAAAAGATAATTCATATTTTAGTTATTTTAGGCATGACCACATACTAATACACTATGAAAAATGAAAAATATGCACAGATGGAATTGAAGAATGTATTTTTCAAAATCAAATGAATTAAAATTATTTCAAGAACTTGTTCATTCTATGGATCTTTGGATGTTTTATATTAGCTTTTATTTGACTATATTTAAAAATAAAGTTCAATGCATTCATTTATTTTGTGGGATTCTTTAAACACATACAGTTCACTCTCTCTATAACGGGTTTTGCTCTATAATAGACTGACAATTTGAGCCTAATTAAAATTATATATCTATCTCATATATTTTCTATAATAGTTTCTCTATAACTGTTGAAACATAAGGCTGTCAACTCTTGTGTGGCACGAAGATATTATACTAAAATGTAAATGTGATAATTGTAAACGTCGATCAAAATAGATTGAAAAATGTAAATATAACATACATTTTTG